GGGGGGAGAGAGAGACCAAGAGGGGAGAAAGAGGGGGGAGAGAGAGGTAGAGAGAGACCAAGAGGGGAGAAAGAGGGGGGAGAGAGGGGGAGAGAGAGACCAAGAGGGGAGAAAGAGGGGGGAGAGAGGGGGAGAGAGAGACCAAGAGGGGAGAAAGAGGGGGGAGAGAGAGGGGGGAGAGAGAGACCAAGAGGGGAGAAAGAGGGGGGAGAGAGAGGTAGAGAGAGACCAAGAGGGGAGAAAGAGGGGGGAGAGAGAGGGGGGAGAGAGAGACCAAGAGGGGAGAAAGAGGGGGGAGAGAGAGGGGGGAGAGAGAGACCAAGAGGGGAGAAAGAGGGGGGAGAGAGGGGGAGAGAGAGACCAAGAGGGGAGAAAGAGGGGGGAGAGAGAGGTAGAGAGAGACCAAGAGGGGAGAAAGAGGGGGGAGAGAGGGGGAGAGAGAGACCAAGAGGGGAGAAAGAGGGGGGAGAGAGAGGTAGAGAGAGACCAAGAGGGGAGAAAGAGGGGGGAGAGAGGGGGAGAGAGAGACCAAGAGGGGAGAAAGAGGGGGGAGAGAGGGGGAGAGAGACCATCTTCTTTTTCACTCATTCTCATCTCGAGTCGGACACATTAAGATTCCAGTCGACGAGCGAGAAACAAAAGAAGTGAAAATGACGAGTGTTGCTCCGTGAGCGTCTTTATCTTAATGAAATCTCCCTCCCCGACTTCCCCCTCCACCAGACGCTTCATACTCTGCCCCCTCCCCGACTTCCCTCTCCACCAGACGCTTCATACTCTGCTCCCTCCCCGACTTCTCCCTTCACCAGACGCTTCATACTCTGCCCCCTCCCCGACTTACCTCTCCACCAGACGCTTCATACTCTGCCCCCTCCCCGACTTCCCTCTCCACCAGACGCTTCATACTCTGCCCCCTCCCCGACTTCCCCCTCCACCAGACGCTTCATACTCTGCCCCCTCCCCGACTTCCCCCTTCACCAGACGCTTCATACTCTGCCCCCTCCCCGACTTCCCCCTCCACCAGACGCTTCATACTCTGCCCCCTCCCCGACTTCCCCCTTCACCAGACGCTTCATACTCTGCCCCCTCCCCGACTTCCCCCTCCACCAGACGCTTCATACTCTGCCCCCTCCCCGACTTCCCCCTTCACCAGACGCTTCATACTCTGCTCCCTCCCCGACTTCCCCCTCCACCAGACGCTTCATGCTCTGCTCCCTCCCCGACTTCCCCCTCCCCGACTTCCCCCTCCACCAGACGCTTCATACTCTGCTCCCTCCCCGACTTCCCCCTCCACCAGACGCTTCATGCTCTGCTCCCTCCCCGACTTCCCCCTCCCCGACTTTCCCCTCCACCAGACGCTTCATACTCTGCTCCCTCCCCGACTTTCCCCTCCACCAGACGCTTCATACTCTGCCCCCTCCCCGACTTCCCCCTCCACCAGACGCTTCATACTCTGCCCCCTCCCCGACTTTCCCCTCCACCAGACGCTTCATACTCTGCCCCCTCCCCGACTTCCCCCTCCACCAGACGCTTCATACTCTGCCCCCTCCCCGACTTCCCCCTCCACCAGACGCTTCATGCTCTGCTCCCTCCCCGACTTCCCCCTCCACCAGACGCTTCATACTCTGCTCCCTCCCCGACTTCCCCCTCCACCAGACGCTTCATGCTCTGCCCCCTCCCCGACTTCCCTCTCCACCAGACGCTTCATACTCTGCTCCCTCCCCGACTTCCCCCTCCCCGACTTCCCCCTCCACCAGACGCTTCATACTCTGCTCCCTCCCCGACTTCCCCCTCCCCGACTTCCCCCTCCACCAGACGCTTCATACTCTGCTCCCTCCCCGACTTCCCCCTCCACCAGACGCTTCATGCTCTGCCCCCTCCCCGACTTCCCTCTCCACCAGACGCTTCATACTCTGCTCCCTCCCCGACTTCCCCCTCCCCGACTTCCCCCTCCACCAGACGCTTCATACTCTGCCCCCTCCCCGACTTCCCCCTCCACCAGACGCTTCATACTCTGCCCCCTCCCCGACTTTCCCCTCCACCAGACGCTTCATACTCTGCCCCCTCCCCGACTTCCCCCTCCACCAGACGCTTCATACTCTGCCCCCTCCCCGACTTCCCCCTCCACCAGACGCTTCATGCTCTGCTCCCTCCCCGACTTCCCCCTCCACCAGACGCTTCATACTCTGCTCCCTCCCCGACTTCCCCCTCCACCAGACGCTTCATGCTCTGCCCCCTCCCCGACTTCCCCCTCCACCAGACGCTTCATACTCTGCTCCCTCCCCGACTTCCCCCTCCCCGACTTCCCCCTCCACCAGACGCTTCATACTCTGCCCCCTCCCCGACTTCCCCCTCCACCAGACGCTTCATACTCTGCTCCCTCCCCGACTTCCCCCTCCACCAGACGCTTCATGCTCTGCCCCCTCCCCGACTTCCCTCTCCACCAGACGCTTCATACTCTGCTCCCTCCCCGACTTCCCCCTCCACCAGACGCTTCATACTCTGCCCCCTCCCCGACTTCCCTCTCCACCAGACGCTTCATCTGCCCCCTCCCCGACTTCCCTCTCCACCAGACGCTTCATACTCTGCCCCCTCCCCGACCTCCCTCTCCACCAGACGCTTCATACTCTGCCCCCTCCCCGACTTTCCTCTCCACCAGACGCTTCATACTCTGCTCCCTCCCCGACTTCCCCCTTCACCAGACGCTTCATACTCTGCTCCCTCCCCGACTTCCCCCTCCACCAGACGCTTCATGCTCTGCTCCCTCCCCGACTTCCCCCTCCCCGACTTCCCCCTCCACCAGACGCTTCATACTCTGCTCCCTCCCCGACTTCCCCCCTCCCCGACTTCCCTCTCCACCAGACGCTTCATACTCTGCCCCCTCCCCGACTTCCCTCTTCCACCAGACGCTTCATACTCTGCCCCCTCCCCGACTTCCCCCTCCACCAGACGCTTCATACTCTGCTCCCTCCCCGACTTCCCCCTTCACCAGACGCTTCATGCTCTGCTCCCTCCCCGACTTCCCCCTCCCCGACTTTCCCCTCCACCAGACGCTTCATACTCTGCCCCCTCCCCAACTTCCCTCTCCACCAGACGCTTCATGCTCTGCTCCCTCCCCGACTTCCCCCTCCCCGACTTCCCCCTCCACCAGACGCTTCATACTCTGCCCCCTCCCCGACTTCCCCCTCCACCAGACGCTTCATGCTCTGCTCCCTCCCCGACTTCCCCCTCCACCAGACGCTTCATACTCTGCCCCCTCCCCGACTTCCCCCTCCACCAGACGCTTCATACTCTGCTCCCTCCCCGACTTCCCCCTCCACCAGACGCTTCATACTCTGCCCCCTCCCCGACTTCCCCCTCCACCAGACGCTTCATACTCCCCCCTCCCCGACTTCCCCCTCCACCAGACGCTTCATGCTCTGCCCCCTCCCCGACTTCCCCCTCCACCAGACGCTTCATACTCTGCTCCCTCCCCGACTTCCCCCTCCACCAGACGCTTCATGCTCTGCTCCCTCCCCGACTTCCCCCTCCACCAGACGCTTCATACTCTGCTCCCTCCCCGACTTCCCCCTTCACCAGACGCTTCATACTCTGCCCCCTCCCCGACTTCCCTCTCCACCAGACGCTTCATACTCTGCCCCCTCCCCGACTTCCCTCTCCACCAGACGCTTCATACTCTGCCCCCTCCCCGACTTCCCTCTCCACCAGACGCTTCATACTCTCCCCCCTCCCCGACTTCCCCCTCCACCAGACGCTTCATACTCTGCCCCCTCCCCGACTTCCCCCTCCACCAGACGCTTCATACTCTGCCCCCTCCCCGACTTCCCCCTCCACCAGACGCTTCATACTCTGCCCCCTCCCCGACTTCCCCCTTCACCAGACGCTTCATACTCTGCCCCCTCCCCGACTTCCCTCTCCACCAGACGCTTCATACTCTGCCCCCTCCCCGACTTCCCTCTCCACCAGACGCTTCATACTCTGCCCCCTCCCCGACTTCCCCCTCCACCAGACGCTTCATACTCTGCCCCCTCCCCGACTTTCCCCTCCACCAGACGCTTCATACTCTGCCCCCTCCCCGACTTCCCCCTCCACCAGACGCTTCATACTCTGCCCCCTCCCCGACTTCCCCCTTCACCAGACGCTTCATACTCTGCCCCCTCCCCGACTTCCCTCTCCACCAGACGCTTCATACTCTGCCCCCTCCCCGACTTCCCTCTCCACCAGACGCTTCATACTCTGCCCCCTCCCCGACTTCCCCCTCCACCAGACGCTTCATACTCTGCCCCCTCCCCGACTTCCCCCTCCACCAGACGCTTCATACTCTGCTCCCTCCCCGACTTCCCCCTCCACCAGACGCTTCATACTCTGCTCCCTCCCCAACTTCCCCCTCCACCAGACGCTTCATACTCTGCTCCCTCCCCAACTTCCCCCTCCACCAGACGCTTCATACTCTGCTCCCTCCCCAACTTCCCCCTCCACCAGACGCTTCATACTCTGCTCCCTCCCCGACTTCCCCCTCCACCAGACGCTTCATGCTCTGCTCCCCTCCACCCGACTCCTCCCCCTCCACCAGACGCTTCATACTCTGCTCCCTCCCCAACTTCCCCCTCCACCAGACGCTTCATACTCTGCTCCCTCCCCGACTTCCCCCTCCACCAGACGCTTCATACTCTGCTCCCTCCCCGACTTCCCCCTCCACAAGACGCTTCATACTCTGCTCCCTCCCCGACTTCCCCCTCCACCAGACGCTTCATACTCTGCCCCCTCCCCGACTTCCCCCTCCACCAGACGCTTCATACTCTGCTCCCTCCCCGACTTCCCCCTCCACCAGACGCTTCATACTCTGCCCCCTCCCCGACTTCCCCCTCCACCAGACGCTTCATACTCTGCCCCCTCCCCGACTTCCCCCTCCACCAGACGCTTCATGCTCTGCTCCCTCCCCGACTTCCCCCTCCACCAGACGCTTCATACTCTGCTCCCTCCCCAACTTTCCCCTCCACCAGACGCTTCATACTCTGCTCCCTCCCCGACTTCCCCCTCCACCAGACGCTTCATACTCTGCTCCCTCCCCAACTTCCCCCTCCACCAGACGCTTCATACTCTGCTCCCTCCCCAACTTCCCCCTCCACCAGACGCTTCATACTCTGCTCCCTCCCCGACTTCCCCCTCCACCAGACGCTTCATGCTCTGCTCCCTCCCCGACTTCCCTCTCCACCAGACGCTTCATGCTCTGCTCCCTCCCCGACTTCCCCCTCCACCAGACGCTTCATGCTCTGCTCCCTCCCCGACTTCCCCCTCCACCAGACGCTTCATGCTCTGCTCCCTCCCCGACTTCCCCCTCCACCAGACGCTTCATACTCTGCTCCCTCCCCGACTTCCCCCTCCACCAGACGCTTCATGCTCTGCTCCCTCCCCGACTTCCCCCTCCACCAGACGCTTCATGCTCTGCTCCCTCCCCGACTTCCCCCTCCACCAGACGCTTCATGCTCTGCTCCCTCCCCGACTTCCCCCTCCACCAGACGCTTCTGTGCAGAGACAAAAGGAACAGGTCCGGACTGGAGCCAAGAGCGAGGTCCAACCGCTTAAAGCTCGGGTACCTAACTTTTTAGATCAATAAATACGACTTTGTGTTTGTGGGTTTGTTCACACTAAAGGGACTAAAGTCGGACTAAAGGCCACAGATGTTTGGACCAGATTAGCTCTCTCTGATTAGCTCTCTCTGACATCACCGTCTCATTCACTCAGATTAAAGATTTACTGTAGAGAAAAGATCTGTTTCATTTTAACATTCTATCAATACATTTTCTGAAATACTCAGTCTCCATCTGCAGCTCACATACACACACAGAGAGCTACTTTCTCAGGACGATAAAGGCAAAAGAGAGCTACTTTCTCAGGACGATAAAGGCAAAAGAGCTACTTTCTCCGGACGATAAAGGCAAAAGAGAGCTACTTTCTCAGGACAATAAAGGCAAAAGAGAGCTACTTTCTCAGGACGATAAAGGCAAAAGAGAGCTACTTTCTCAGGACGATAAAGGCAAAAGAGAGCTACTTTCTCAGGACGATAAAGGCAAAAGAGAGGTACTTTCTCAGGACGATAAAGGCAAAAGAGAGCTACTTTCTCCGGACGATAAAGGCAAAAGAGAGCTACTTTCTCCGGACGATAAAGGCAAAAGAGAGCTACTTTCTCAGGACGATAAAGGCAAAAGAGAGCTACTTTCTCAGGACGATAAAGGCAAAAGAGAGCTACTTTCTCAGGACAATAAAGGCAAAAGAGAGCTACTTTCTCCGGACGATAAAGGCAAAAGAGAGCTACTTTCTCCGGACGATAAAGGCAAAAGAGAGCTACTTTCTCCGGACGATAAAGGCAAAAGAGAGCTACTTTCTCCGGACGATAAAGGCAAAAGAGAGCTACTTTCTCCGGACGATAAAGGCAAAAGAGAGCTACTTTCTCCGGACGATAAAGGCAAAAGAGAGCTACTTTCTCAGGACGATAAAGGCAAAAGAGAGCTACTTTCTCAGGACGATAAAGGCAAAAGAGAGCTACTTTCTCAGGACGATAAAGGCAAAAGAGAGCTACTTTCTCCGGACGATAAAGGCAAAAGAGAGCTACTTTCTCCGGACGATAAAGGCAAAAGAGCTACTTTCTCAGGACGATAAAGGCAAAAGAGAACTACTTTCTCAGGACGATAAAGGCAAAAGAGAGCTACTTTCTCAGGACAATAAAGGCAAAAGAGAGCTACTTTCTCAGGACGATAAAGGCAAAAGAGAGCTACTTTCTCAGGACGATAAAGGCAAAAGAGAGCTACTTTCTCAGGACGATAAAGGCAAAAGAGAGCTACTTTCTCCGGACGATAAAGGCAAAAGAGAGCTACTTTCTCAGGACAACAAAGGCAAAAGAGAGCTACTTTCTCCGGACAATAAAGGCAAAAGAGAGCTACTTTCTCAGGACGATAAAGGCAAAAGAGAGCTACTTTCTCCGGACGATAAAGGCAAAAGAGAGCTACTTTCTCCGGACGATAAAGGCAAAAGAGAGCTACTTTCTCAGGACGATAAAGGCAAAAGAGAGCTACTTTCTCCGGACGATAAAGACAAAAGAGAGCTACTTTCTCCGGACGATAAAGGCAAAAGAGAGCTACTTTCTCAGGACAACAAAGGCAAAAGAGAGCTACTTTCTCCGGACAATAAAGGCAAAAGAGAGCTACTTTCTCAGGACGATAAAGGCAAAAGAGAGCTACTTTCTCAGGACGATAAAGGCAAAAGAGAGCTACTTTCTCAGGACGATAGAGGCAAAAGAGAGCTACTTTCTCAGGACAACAAAGGCAAAAGAGAGCTACTTTCTCAGGACGATAAAGGCAAAAGAGAGCTACTTTCTCAGGACAACAAAGGCAAAAGAGAGCTACTTTCTCCGGACGATAAAGGCAAAAGAGAGCTACTTTCTCCGGACAATAAAGGCAAAAGAGAGCTACTTTCTCCGGACGATAAAGGCAAAAGAGAGCTACT